AATCTCATACAGGAATTCCAACTATGCATTTTCTAATAGGTAGTTTCCGTATCCGTTTGTGGTTTATTTACTTATAAATAAATGCTTTTCTTTCTTTTTTTTTTGTTGTTTGCGAAAGAAAACATATTTATTGTGCTTACTAATTTCATTTTTTGTTGCTTGCGAATTTAGTACACCAAAAGCAATACTTGGTAAAAGACAAGCAAAATAAAGAAATACAGCTGTTGATAGAACTTTTTGTGGGCCACGATCAGTTTTAAAAACTAAATGAATTTATATTTGAAAGATACAAAAGAAATAAATTTAAAATTGTTTTTTACTATCATAATAATCAGAGAAATAATGTGGTAAACGACGTGATAAATCTAGACAAATATCAGAAGGTAATGGACAATAATATATCTGATCTTTGGATGTCTAGAAAATAAGAAATAAATGAGGATAATATTTTGTATTTGTGTTTCTTCTTACTTCAGCATTCGTATTAATATCATCAAAAGGATCTGGTAGAGATGTTCGTGTTACTGCTGTTTGTTGTTCCATTAAATGATCTGTATGTTTCTATTGAATGAAGCAAAAGAAAATTAATAAAGAAATAAAATAGAAATAATTAATTTACATCAATAATAGAAATAAATTCTTGTTGTGTTGCTGCTTTTAATAATTTAGCACGTAATTCAATATCAGCAAATATTGTTGCAAATGTTCGACCAGTCTCAAGAAAATTTTTTGTACCTTTTTCTTTCATCGGTGATAGAATAAAAACAATAAAACGTGCTTCTTGACAATTACGTCCTAAATTACATGGATTTTTTAATCGAGCTATAGCAACATGTCGTTTAAGAATTGATGGTGATGTACACATAATTGCTAACCATGATTGATCATATGTCCAATTTGTTTCAGTTGCAGTTGTTGCTTGAAGAGTTTTTGCTAATATTCGGACTAAAGAAAGATAAAGAATAATAATAAATGAATCGAATATATTTTAATATACCTCTATCATTTACAAACAAAGCCTGTTTAATTTCTTCAACATTTAAATTTTCTCGATGTCCACTCATACTGCCAACCGTATTGCTTATCATTGTTGTCGTTGCATTTGATACTGACAGTGTTGGTGATGTTGTTCCACCACCATTATGTGGTATATTTGTTTGTTTTATTTGTCGTAAAATCATTTCTAATAAATCTCCTATTGATGTATCTTGTACATCAAGAAGTACAAGTGCACTAAGAATAAATTCTTTTATATCTTTTCCACCACGAATTTCTGCAGCAAAATCTTTTAATGGTATATGCTATAAAAATAAAACATTAGATTTACATTGTTTTTCAATTAATTATTAATTGCTTACTTCAGTTTTATTGTAAACAAGTTGAATATGAGCACCATCCTCTATATAAATAAAAGAAGCGTATTCATTTAAAATATAAAACAATTATTAGCATATTGTTCAATAAAATTCCTGTGAGATTTGTGAATATATATCTTTTCTCAAATTATATTATAATCTTACAATTTCTTTTTCTATAAAACTATTTTTCCTTTGAGACATCGTAACGAGTGCCTATTCATATTGAATTATCATATTTTATTTGTTCGAATTAAAATCTATAGAATTTTTTCAACTTACGTTCTAATAATGGTACATCATTTTCATGAACAAAAAAATGATGCAAATTCAAAGCATCACCTCTCATATCCATCACGGAAAAAAATAATAAAAATTTTCTGATTCAACATATTTTTTTTCTATAGAATCTTGCTTTGACGTCATAGACAATGTGGATCGACTTTCAACACTTTTGTTTCGAATAGAAGAAAAATTCCAAATATCTCTATTCATTCTTTTTTTCTATATTATTAACTAGGATACTTTTTTGTTTGCTAGTGCGTGACAAGAATATTATTCCAGTCTCAACTCACTCGGAACTAACAAATCTGCTCGAGACCATATAATGTAAAGGAAACATGCTCGAATGAGCTACTATCACCATTCCTAAGAAAAAGAAAATCAAAATCTATAGAAAAAAAACAACATAACATCTATGTGCGTGTATGTCAGATTCAAGCAACATGAGAAGATAATAATTCTATCATATCCGTATTTATATATAACAGCCAATAATTAAAAGAAATCTAATAAGTAAAAATGCTAATATTACCTCGAAGTAATTGCCACTCATGACTTTCATCATTAAATGTCCATGTTGATGTTGGTACAGGTATAAATTCTTTCGTTGGTTTACGACGAAAACTAAATCTACGTAAACTACTACCACCTGGATTACGTCGAAAATAGGAATCTGTTCGATGCATTGTGTATGTGTTTTTCTTTTTCTTTTTAGTATAAGATGTTATTCACTCAATGTTACTAATGATTGTGAAAATATAATAGTAAATGAACACGAATGAATAAGAGTTAGCTCTAGGGCCATTTTAATATGCTTCTATGTTATTCGTAACAATGTCGAACTACTAATCAAAAATATTAAGAAAAAAGAAGACACAATCAAGATAAAAAAAAAGTGAAGATGGTTGTTAGAATAAGAAGAAAGAAAGAATCAGAACTGAAAGAGAGATGAAGAAATAGATCGTTGTTTATGAGAAAACGACAGTAAGAACTCTATTATTCCTTTTCTCCATATCTATATATCTCTTTCTTTCGTCAAGAAAAAAAAATAAGAGAAGTTTACGATAAGAAATAACATCTGCCACTAAGAACAGATCTACTTCGTTAACGGAATGTGCCTGTTAGAGTTAATGATAATAATGAATATATCGATTAATAGTACATGACAATTGCATGTATGTATGCTTAAAATACGAAGTAGTCTTCGTCTTGTTAGGCTCATTACTGACTAAAGATTTGCAATTTTCTCTCAAGTATTCATCATTAATTCTTCTTCTTCTTCTTCTATATTTTTTTTTGCTTTGCTCTTGAACAAACATAATAAATATTTATATATAGACATGAACAAATGAATAGTAAATACAAATTCATCAAACGATAGGTTTTTGGATAATGTAGATAAATTATTTATGATTCAATTAGACAAATTAGCAACTCTTCTGATTTAATTTTATTAAACGTGCCAATTGAAAATCTAGTCTTCCCTTCAAACACAAAATTCTATAGATTTGAATGGCTCTTAATATATTTGCTTTTGTTGATCATTGTAACTTTGATCAATATAAATATAAAAAAGATCAAACTCTTACTTCGTGATGAAGATGATGTTGTTAATTCAGGAAAAGGTATACTCGTATTCACTATTTCAATAACTGGTAATGTTTGACAATCGTACATCTATTCTTTTGATCGTTGTGTTAGAAGAAAATGATCAAGTGAATATGATGTATACATATATATATTAGCATTTAAACAAGAAAATCGGAAGAACACGGGTGGTTAGAATATTATTGTGTGTGCTATGACTTGATAAATCATTGTTTTATACAAAAGAAACCATTCCTAGAGAAGTTCTTTCTTTTTTTTTCATTTATGATTGTTTCGGATGTGGAGATCGATTTTCTTCTGTTGTCTATTGTAAATGATTTTGTTTTAAGGCAAAATTGAGTTTTTATAAAAGTATAAAATTTAAAACACATGTTTTTTTTTATTCTAATGAAAGTGTTTTTAGATATTGTTCATTGAACCAGTAAATTATGGAATATAAAACACACTATAATATAATGTTTTTCTCCGAAGTTAAACAGTTCGTATTAATCTTTTTCATGCCATCCAATTATAATCAAAGAAAACATAATTAACGCTTTTAATATTTATTAGTAACAGTAAGAAAAATATTTTTCTCCTAGTATTCCTATTATTCATTATTTTCCAAATGAAACATGAAGCGTTAAGTATCCAGTTTATTATGTAAACAGGACGTACTGATTTTTTATATTGAATTTTTGTTTTTTTTGACAAAACGTCTAAACTTGTTATTGTAGAGGATAATGCTTTAAGGCACAAATCAAAGAGTATAAAAAAATAGTTATTGATATATTCGATGGGTCTGCGATATAAAATTATTAAAAAAAAAAATTTTTTTATTAGAGATTAATTAATAATATATTTATATTTAGAATAATTAAAGTATTAATCTGTGTTTGATTGATTGGACTATAATATGATTATTTATTAATGAAATTTCGAATTTAATTGACAACGAGAAGAGAAAACTATCTGAGATTTGCCAAAATGTTATAGTGTAAATACGTTCTATTTTTCATGAGCTTTTATTAGCGCATAAAAACACGACAGCTTAAAAAAACATTTTTGTGCATGTGGTGGAAATAACAAGCTATCAGATTAATACTCATAAAACCATATTTTTTTGTTTGCTAGTTGTAAAAAGCGAAACAAATCGATGAGATCATTATGTGAGATCAATGAGGGAAAAGAATGGAAAACAGAAAGATCGTGTGAACGGTTTCAAATATAATTTCATCTAAAGGTTTTACGGAAAAATGACAATTTTTAATTTCACAGCGTCTAGATTTACATGACTATTGTTGTGGAAAAGTGGTTTTTTTTTGATTACGTCAAATGTAAAGAGGAAATTTCTAATCATGAATGTATTTATCTTGTTTGCAAAGATATTCATTGGTATGTGAATACCTAATGTTTATCGTCGAAGAGTTAGATATGCAATATATTCGTTCTTCGAAGACTTACTCAATAAATACAGTTATTACATCAGTTTTTGAATTGAAAATGTGATGTCATACAGCGCAGTGTTATTACAACTTTGCTTGAAATTTCTCAACTATTACCATTTATCCATATATCCTGAATCAAACAATACTTTTAAATCTCTAAAATGATTGACATCATATCATCTAGTGTAATAACTGTCATTGTTTCATATCATATCTCTTGATGGTCTCTTTAATTCTTAGAGAAAAAACGACTATTTAAAGCTATTAAACTTATCACTAATCTTTATTTTATGATTGATTACAATGTTTTTTTTTAAAGCGAATAACTTTTCTTACTTCATACAAAAAAGAAAAAAACACGAACATTCCTTTTTTTTTGTTTAAAACGATCACATAAGTTCATAGTATTATCTTTAAAGAAAAAATATAGAATTCTAACTATCTATAATAGTTATTACCAAGAAGAGAGAGAGAGAGAAAAAAGAAAGAAGAAAAAAAAAGAACCCCGTCAAAACCAGAAAATTTACAAATCCATGCAGAAAATCAAGCAAACAAATGTTACAAAAATAAATTTTCTCGTTTTCTTATGATGAATATTTCGATTTTTGTTGTTTGCCAGCTTCAAAATTAGCATGCGATGAATTTGCTTTATAGAATTTAATTGGAAACGATATATTAGGAAAAAGACTAATAACTTTTTCATCAATTATTTTTTGAGCTTCTTCACTCGGATTTGAATTCCAAATTTGTACAAGATCTTGCATACCATCACGTGATTGAACACTGATACCAACAACATCATCACTATCATCTTCCGAAAATTGTTCACCAATTGCAGCTAAACATAATTCTTGCCAAACAGTATTTGTTTTATCTTTCGGGCAACGATATGTAAATATACCACCACTAAACAAAAAAAAGACATCAATTAAATCTGAGAATTTCTCATAAAGGAGTAGTATCTTTATTCTACTGAATGAACTAGGGATATGATTTAATATTATTAGTTATCAATAAATGAGGTATGTCTTTAGCTGGTATTTTTTTGTTAAATATACATAGTCCATCTATGGCTTTTCGTATATTTATTCCGCGGTTTCTGTAATCATAACATGTACACACAACATATTATATTCACTCTGTGCATGAGTGAACAATATATGATGCATTCAGTAACGGGAATAACAGAGTGTTCACTATAGAGAGACTTATGCCTAGTGAAAATCATCCGAGTGAACTTTTAGATGCGTACTATACAGTGATGTTTATACAATAAGGTAAATCTTCAGTGAATTCCAGGTATGGCAAAATTTTTTCTAGCGTTCATTAATTTATGGTTAACTCAGGTATATTAACAAACTTATCAAAGGGAAATATTTGTTTAAGTTTTTCAGTGTTTATTCGAACTAAATACTGGAAAAATTTTTAGGTCGAAATCAGGAGAAAAACTTCGATCTACACATTTCTAGTATTGTAAATGATATACTTACTTTTCATTTTCTTGATCTTCCCAAAGTGGTTTACGATTTTTTCGCATCAAATGATAACTAACTCGATTTGGTAATCGACTTGGTGCTTAAAAATAAATTTAACGATAAACTTCTTCTTTCTTTTTTTTTCTAACTTACTTGGAATATTATTAAAAACACTCCAGAATTCTTGAACAGTTTGAACCTAAATTAATAAATAATTCATATATATATATATATAATATATTCAATATATCTAACACAAAATATTTTTTTAAGACCGGCTTCATAGTCTTCTTTTGTTGTAAATTTTGACTTTTGATTATCGAGCCAAAAAGTCCATCTACATATAGGAAGAAGAAAAATAAAAAAATAAGCCAACATTCTTTTTTTCATTTCATACTCTGTAGCAAGTGGTGCTATTTTTTCTTTATTAAGTGATAATGTATGTCGAATTTTCGCTGCTGTTTGTGGAACATAATTATCGTCATTTAATGTTTCGCTAGCTGACAAATAATCACTATCATCACCACCGTCGATCATCTAGAAAACGAAAAGAAATTGTATAGGACAGAAAAAATAAATACAAGAATGAATAATTCTTCTATTTGCCAACACTGCACAGTTCTTTTTCTTTTTCTTCATTCTTGTGTTTTTTTTTCGTTATATATATTTATGTAAAAAGTACAACACTATACTCATAAATATCGAAAGTTACGAGTGTCAACATGCCACGTGCAATGGACAATTATCTTGATTTGAAGTTTTTAGCTATTGGGGATTCAGGTGTTGGCAAAGTAAAAAATTTACTTGACGTTTTTTCAATGACACTCTTTTTTTTTTGCTCGTAGACATGTATACTAAATCAATATGTTGATGGAAAATTTACTAAACAATTAGGAACTACTGTTGGTATTGATATTCGTAATAAAACTATTTTTTATACATCGAATAAAACCAATAAAATATATAATGTTCAATTACAACTATGGTAAAAAAAAATGTTATGAAACTCATCCATATGTTAAATCTAGTTTTGTTTTCAGGGATACTGCTGGTCAAGAACGATATCGTAGTCTTACAACATCATTTTTTCGTGATGCAATGGGTTTTATGCTAGTATTTGATGTAACAAGTGAAACATCATTTCTTAATGTACGCAATTGGATAGGTGAAATTCAA